CAAAACCGAGATCGGCTCACAGGCTCGACACGAGAGGTCTGCCGGTCTCTCGTACAAAACATCGAAAGTGACAGTTGGTATTGTGCGTTAACGTTGTTAACGTGCCGGCGCTCGCACGGAAGGCCGTGGAACCGTTTTTGCGGTTTATTTACGCGGTTCCGCTACGAGGAAACCTCGTCGATCTGAAACATCTCTGCTCCAATCGTGGTATTGAAAAAGGAGCTTTAACGGAAACACTTTAACGGAACGTGGTACACATAATTGTAGAAGTCGATTGTATAAGATGATCTTGGAGGGTTATAAGATCGTCTTCTTCATACTTGTATGTATTCCAGTAAACTCTACATCCAGAAAATATAATCTTATTTTTAACGAAACTTTCTCATATACAGCCTGACAAGAGGATTTTTCCAAGAAGAAAGCAGAAGAAAAATAGTATTAATACCCCGAAAAAAAGAACTCTAATTAGAAGGTGCTATTTCATGTAATCCCATCAATTCTAAACAGAAACTTTTACCGAAAGAGTATTTCTCTTCTAATAAAGTGGACTGTTAATCGAAAATCTATCAGATACTATATTCTTCTTTTTTTTCTTTTTACATTAAGAGAAATATGTTTACTTGAAACAGAATGCCTTCTTGCTAGATAAAATTTTTATCAAGAACAAGATTTGTATCCGTAGATAAGGACGAAATCTTTTTAACTTCAAGAATATTGTGTTTAGAATATTTTTCTTTTGATTTTAGAAAAATTTTCTTGAAGCTAAATATAAGAGGATTTCGTTGAAAATAAGATTATTAGTAAAATTATTGATAAGATTATATATTTTTGGATGTAACTAAACTAGTAGTAACATTACATTAATGTTATAATTTCCTGCTGAACAACGTAAATGTGACATAACGCATTTTGCATGCAACAATTGCATTGGGAAATTATATTATTAATATAATCTTATTGGTGATGTCTTTCTACTGTTACTGTTTACTGTTATTTCATGTGTTTACTGGGATATAAAAAATAATTCTTTCTCTCTAATATTCATAATATTTTAGATATAGAATTTTGAGTCACATGAGAATTTTTACGTAACGGTATAAGAGTTTGTTAAAATTAAAGGATGAGGGAAGGATTGGGGTAAGGAAAATTTGAGACGCTTTATTTTATGTTAAAGTTGCGAAAAAAGATATTGAACGTATGTTCAAGTTAAGATCGCAGGATAGATTTGTGTACTTCGGATTACTAACGGATTACTTTTTCCCGTTTTTGCGGGGAATTTGAACGCTCGCGCGCCAGCCTAAATTGTCCATGAAGGCGCCGTGTGTTACGGCTGTAAATTTTCTCTTGCGGGTTAAACGGTAAAAGGCGTCGCGTGGAAGCGTTAAATGCACAAATCAGCCTGCATGATTGGAAAGAGCGACAACGAACTGTCGAAGCGTCGACAACCGTTACGGCTCGCCACCGCATACCTGGGTTAGGTACACATCAGACGTGCACGTGTGTAAAGGATGCGTGCATTAGGCACTGCTCGGGGTCAGCGTGAGAAATTTTGTCGAGTCTCTCCGCGAAGGAATTGCAGGGTCTACGAAAAGTGAAAATGCACTTCGTGGAATTCGTTCATCAGGTTTACGGAATATCAATTAAAAATTCCCCGTATATTTAATCCGTCGAATTCTCCAATTTATAAATCAATCGAGGCAAAAGCCAAAGTATTAGGACCTTAACTTAGTTTCCGCCCTCAAATGTTAGATGGCAATGCAAACAGTTCTAGTAGTCATTACTAACGAAACAGGTAGTTTGTGATTAATTTCGACATTTCTCGATAACATTCAGTCAGCATACACAATTATTTTCCTAAACAACAATTTCTTTTGCTTTGTGAAAAATGGAACGCGATAAAGTGTTTTTTCGACATGTGCTTTTGCACTATTTTGATTTGAAAAAAAGTGTAGCAGAAGTTCATC